GAGTCATAAAAAGATTAGTATTTTTCTGGTTGCGAAATGTAACATTTTTATAAAAATTTTCCACGATTATTGTTGAACAAGGTTTGCATATATTATATCATTTATGTATTCTAAAATAACACAAAGTACAAGTATTTACATATTTTGATTACTTTTTTTTCGTAAATGTGCATTTTCTATTTTTTGTAATGATTCAAAATTAAATATTGGTGTCCTTTCTGAAAATATTAATCGAAAACCAGTTTAAAACATCATAGCATTGATTTGAAATTGTCAACTGATTCTGGCAAAAAGTTGTACCGACTTATATGCGGGTCAATAGCAAATCCCTCCAAAATAACCTCAAAAATACAATCGACTTATAGGCGAACTGACTTATAGGCGAGTATATACGGTAGATTTAAGTTTGTTCAAATCATGATCCCTGGGGGTAGGGTGGGGTCACAATGGACAATCTAAGTTTTATGTAGGAATACATAGGAAAAATCTTTAAAAATCTTCTTCTCCAGAACCACTGGGCCAAGAAAGATGAAACTTATGTGCAAGCATCCTCAGGTAGTGTAGATTCAATTTTATTTAAATCATGACCCCCGGGGGTAGGGTGTGGCCAAAATGGACGATCAAAGTTTTACATAGGAATACATACGAAAAATCTTTAAAAATCTTCTTTTCCAGAACCACCGGGCCAAGAAAGATGAAACTTGTGTGCAAACATTCTCAGGTAGTGTAGATTCAAGTTTGTTCAAATCATGACTCCCTGGGGTAGGGTGGGGCCACAATGAATGATCAAAATTTTACATAGGAATACATTGGAAAAATCTTCTTATCCACTACTAGGCCAAGAAAGATGAAACTTATGTGGAAACATCTTCAGGTAGTGTAGATTCAAGTTAATTTTTTTAAATCATGATCCCTGGGGGTAGGGTAGGGCCACAATGGACAATGAATGTTTCACATTGGAATACATAGGAAAAATCTTGAAAAAATTTTTTTTTCTCAAAAACAGCAAAACCATGATTGGTTATATTTACATGGAAGCATCCTCAGATAGTATAGATTCAAGTATGTTCAAATCATGACTCTGGGGATAGAGTAGGGCCACAATGGATGATCAAAGATTTACACATGAATGCATATGAAAAATCTTGAACAATTCTCTTCTCAAGAATAGCAAAGCCATGATTTGTCTTATTTATATGCAAGCATCTTTGGGTAATGTTAATTCAAATTTGTTCATATCTTGACCCCCTGGGGTAGGGAGGGAGCACAACAGAATGAAAGCTTTTTAGTTAGGAATTTATAGGAAAGATCATTTAAAAATCTTCTCAAAAACAATAAAACCATGATAAGTCATTTTAGTACCCGGTATAATTTAATTTTGGTTGTAACACATCATTTGATTGGATAAAAATTGATTTATATTGTATAACCGGGGTTGGTTTTTTTTTTTTTTTTTTTTTTTTTTTTTGCAGCTTTCAATTTATATTTCATGGATCCTAGTTATGTATTGTTGTTTTATACTCAGGTGACCGTTAAGGCCCTTGGGCCTCTTGTTTTTTTCTTTTTATTCCTCTTATCCTGTCAACAAATATGTTGAAATCTTCTGGAAAAAAATTTTTCCCACCTACCTACTTACCCTATAATTTAACCCTGAGTCGGGACAGGGCAAACAAACATTATTTTAAAGATGGCCTCAGGTTTTGATTTTGATGAATGATGTTGCCATGGTTACTAAAATAGAAATTTCTGTAAAATTCTTTTAAAAGGCTACTCCTTGTACAGTTTTAGTCAGATTGCAATAAATTTGCCACAAAGAGACTAAACTGAGAACCATTATTCTATTTATAAAAATATTGGTGTTGCAAAGTTTTAAGTTTATGTGCCACTTTTCTCTTCCTTTGTTATAAGTACAAACCAGTAGAGCTACAGTCTGGTCAGAGACTTTTGGGCGTTTTTATATGACCTCCTAAATGCCAACGATGAAGTCATGAATTTGTGCATTTTGCTGTATTTTCTTAAGTTGCAGTTTCTTAATTAATTTTTAGTGGAATTTTCTTTCAGACAATAACTAGACCACATGCATTGTCCACAAAGATTTTAAGAAATGTGATATCACAAAGATTTAAACACAATTCACATATCTGAAAATTGAAGATTTCCTGAAATGGATAGTGAAACATCAATATAAACATTCAAAAGTTGGAGCTAGGTGAACTTTCATGACCAAATAACTTCCAGTTCTAGGTCACTGTGTGTTACAACATAGTGATATGGCGGGCAGTTTGTGTAATATTTCTTTTTGAATATTGGTCTCAAACGTAAATATAAGAAAAACATTGTTAAAAAGTTCATTGAGAAATTACCTTGATTGGTACATGATCACATCTAATGAGAAGTGTACCATTATCAAATCTACTGAGAAGTCACAGGATTTGATCATGTGATCATCCAAGTTCATTTTCCAATAAACTTTTTAACATTGTTGTTTATTTCTTAATTACCCAAGGCTTATGTAGGTAGACTGCTTGTCTATTGTAAAATAAATGTAATGCATGGCCTTTGTGATGCAGAAACATGATAGATTCAGATTTTATATGGTTTATATAAAGTTTTTTATCTGACAAGCTGTCAGTCTATTAGAATTAAGGTCTGTATTTGGCATACAGGCATGTACATGATCAGTATATTTGGAGGAAATTATTAATATTTTTTGTATAAATGAAGCATTGAATTTTTCCTATTTGAGGAAAAACTTGTTTTCAGTGACCCAACATTCCTGGTACCTTTGAGTTTGCTGATTTTATGCAAAAACAAAATAATACTGTATAACTGGTACATGTGTAACATTTTATAGAGGAAATCCTGTATAACCAGCTTGATTTTTGATTGGAAAACAAATTTTTCATGAAAGATATAAAAGTTTTATGAAATTTATTGAGTAGTTAAATGTGATTTAGGATAGTCAAATGAATTTGATTCATACTGACTGTATAATGGTTATTTTCTTTATCTTGGGGATATAGAAATAAGATGCAGAGTTTGGTAGGCATTTCCAGGTGTGACATCTTAATTACCTGATTTGGCAGGTAAGAGTAAAATATGTGATAATGGTCAGGTCTGATACATATCAATATTTCATGGCTAAGGTAATAACTATTCCAGAGAGGTATTAAATGTGCTAAACCTCATCTGTTATAGATCAGGGGCCCACCATAAAAAGATGTTTTATTACCTACTTAAAGCAAAAAATCAATTAACAGGTGATAGTGGGAGGGGCACCAATTGATAACCTGATACAAAGGTGTTTCTTGTCAATATATGCAGTGACATAACAAACTGAGAAAGTGCAGTTACACCATCTAGAATGTAATAAGACATATACAGCTTTCCCGAATACTAGAATATATACATGTATCATCATTACACTTGACATGGTATTTTGTGTTGTCAGAACTATGTCCATTTTTAAATATAAAACAGTGATGTCCCTTTTGTGTTTTTTAAATGCATTTTTGGGGTCTATTTATTAGTACAATTATTGTATTTCTGCTTTATTCTGATTTACATACAGTAGTATGAGATTCTTAGAGTTGTAATTCAGTGTAAAATTAAAGTCACAGTATTTTTTCAGCATAGTCCACTAAGTACTATGAAAAATATTTTCTTCATTCCACTAACTAATGTGAAACAACAAGTCTTTAAAATGAAAAAGAATACATGAAGAATTACTGAAAATGTATTGTACATGATATTTGGATAAAATTAAATAACCATATATTTATGAACTTATTAGGTACTTATTAGTCTCTTGCCAGTGAGACCAGAAGGGGACTGTAGGTTTCCTCCATGTCTGTCCATCTGTCTCTTGCACTGGGTTTTTCTACATGCTTGCAGATATTAACTGATTTCTACCATGATGATTTTTGGATAAAATTAACTAACCATATATTTATGACCTTTCAATGTACTAATATTAGTCCTATACTGGTGAAACTTTAAGGGGATCATAGGTTTCCTCCATGTCTGACCATCTGTCTGTCAGTGGGTCAGGCACTGGGTTTTCGACACTATTTTTTTTTTTTACATGCTTGCAGATATTGAGCTGATTTCTAACTTTATAAGTTAAAGTTTGCATTTTGTTCTACTTTTGACCAAATTACACCTTTTTAATTTTTAAAGGAAACCAGATTACATTTGCCTGTAGTTTTGATATGTTTATTAAGCAGTACTAGAGGCAGTTTGACACATCAGAATTACAAGTACAAAAGAAGAAATGTGTACCAGTGGTAGTTTCTTGACAAAGTAACCTATATGCTTAAAGAAATAAGTGCATTTGTAAGTTGGTATTATGGAATGGTATTCATATGACCTTTCTGACCAATGCTTTTGTGAGGTCAAGAACCATGAAATCAATACAGAATACAAGCCAGTGTCCTGTTTGGCAAGGCTGGGGGTCAGGTTAATCTGCCTGACCAGGTAAAGCTGTATACATTTTAAAGCTTGTTAACAAAGAGATAGATTATCTCTCATGCCATTTTAAACACATCTGTTACATGTATACATACCTTCTTTATTTTGTATTTATTAGGTATTTAGGGGATGTTTAAATGTTTTCTATAGCTAAAGTGTGCTGTTCCATTTCCTCTAATGACAATAGACTGCAAGACATGCAGTACCCTCTTATTTGTATCCTTGATCCTGAAGTATAAATTTTCCTTAAAAATCTATATGCACCACATTCTGAAGTGATCTGTTTTTGCATGCTGTATATTACGAAGCTCGATTGATTTTTTGTAAAAGAGAAGAGAGCAGGTCAAACTTGCATTTTCCTTCAATGCCGGCTTCAATCTCACCACATTTAGTGATCGATATTGCTGCATAGTTGTGATTCAGAACTTCCACAACTTTGCATTGTATGATCTGCAGTTTTAGGAATGATATCTTGTTCATAATATTGTCTGGTCATTTCATAAATAACAATGGTATTCTTCATGTTTCAGGTCATTGGGATTAAAGAGAAAGTAGACTGGGGAAGAAAATTGCATAACTTTGCTGAGGGCGTATTGACAGACAAACATCAGATCAACAGCTTTCAGGTTTGTATATATAGACCCTGAACAAACAGGCAACATGTTTACAATTTTGTAATATTTAGGGCACTTTGTCACCTCTCAGAGTGCAGTACGGAGCAGGTGTCTCATCTCCTGCTTTTGTCATATTTAACACTTGTTATTGATAATAACACTACAATATCAATACACCAGACACCCTCAATATTGCCATTGTAGGAGGGGAACACTGGTTGTTCTGATCAAGTGCTCTTTCTATTGTTATGTTGAAGAATCTAAGTCTTCTATGTGTAAAAGTTAAGCTTTTTATGTCTAAAGTGCAAAAATGATAAAACATTTCTTACTTCTGTATAAACTTAAAATTGCATGTCTGACAGCATTAAAACTTGTGGTAGACATTCTGGATATTCTATTTATCATGTTTTTGTTGGGGAAATAAATCAACTCTATACATCTGTCACTCACTTTGATTTCCCTCCTTGCAAACGTTTTATGGGTATTTAATTTTTCTGTGAAGAAATATGATATCTACCTTTAAAAATGTGTGTTTTTTAATAACTGCTGGATATAAACACAGACATCTCAGGTGTTAAAGAAAATATTAAAGCTTGAAATGTAATTTCCAGGTGAATATAGATTCTACCAAGATCAATCTACTTTACTGTCAAAAGTTATATCCAGGCCCAGACAAGTTATAGCAGGGTCAGGTCTATATGTTGGTCAGACTTACGAGACAACTTAGATTTCTGGCATGACAGAATTACCTTAACTGTATGAGTATTTGGTTTTCTTTTTATATAATTATGGCATATAGAGTCACAATACTAATTATTCAGTGGAGGGTATGGTGGATAGTACTGAATACATGTACAATAAAAACAGATATTGACTGAGATTCAAGCAGCTTATAATTTTTTGGACCCAAATAAAAATCTTGTCACCATGCAGCCATCATTTTGTCCTTCAGGGGCCCAACAAATTATATGCTTTACTGAGTCAACCTGTATAATATTGTATATAAATACTTCACAATATTGTCAAAATAAAAGATGAAATGTCACAAATCTTAGAAGGGCCAATAGGTGTCTTTTCAAGTTCATGTCTATCAAAGCAGTTCAATACATGTACTAGGTTGACAAGTTCATGTACATACAAATCCACATGATATATCAAAGACATGCCTATCTCTTTATGACCCGTGTTCAAGCGTGCAGAAAAGGGACATTTAAAATATATACATCCTGTATTTCATAGTGTATGCATAGAGAAACACAACTGTTTCTTATAATTGTATTTATGTGTCTGAACACGACAAGTGAGAAATCCTAAAAACCCTTTCAAATTGTCCTGGTGTGGCCATAGGGTTAACTTTAAAATAAAGGTAATTTCTCACACTTTCATGATAAAGAAATAGGCCAGGATTATGTATTTTATGAGCTGGGCTATATTAGTCATGTTGGTGTTTTCTTAATCTATTTTTAGCCTTGTGTCAGTTCAATGATTGCTTGTTGGTGGTGGCGTGAGGAATTGCAGAGCAGAGAACTTCCTCGCAAAAAATCAGAATAATCCAGCCATCAGCTGATTTCAAGGTAATGTAGAAAAAATGCTTGTTTTGTATAATGGAAAGGTAAACCTATGAGATATATTTATTGATGGTGTTAATGAAGCAATGACTTGTTTTATTCATGTTAAATATGCAAGGTCAAAGGTGAAAGCTTGAATTATGGTAATGTAATGACCTCTCAAAAAGGAAAGTGATAATTTCAGAATATTTTAATGAATCTGTTTTACAAAGCATGGTCATATTTATACAGTTAATTTTGTTTGTTGACTGTTTTGATTTAGTAGGTATTTGATGTGTTAAACCACAGGCCCTGTATTAATATTAATGTGTTTATAAGTGCTACTCTTTCATAGGGGATATGTTAACAACTTTATGAGAAAAGAATTTCTTAATCTGAGGCTAATAACAAGATTTAAGAATGTGCGAACTGCCTGAAGTTGTATTTCATGATCATAAATTTCTTCAGAGGTTTTTAATAATCATATAATCCCAGTGAGGAATCCCTTTGAAGGATTGTGAGTTTCTAGTGTTCAGTAAAGATTTTATTACTAACTTGGAACAAAGTGACCAAATAGAGCATTCCCTCTGGGGGCAGCAACACTATAAATAAATAAAGTCAGCTTCAGTGTCTGAAAATATGTTATAATTGAATGTAAAATGGACATTATCTTAAATAAACAGAACTTGATCTTTTGTTAAATATGTGGCTTAAGGGTTATTGTTAGGATCCATAGCAACACATGGTATGTGTGTTTATTGATTGTTAATATGTGATGTTTGGATATCACAAGGACACACCCATCTTGAGATAAGTCAGGTTTATATGTATCCAACCCCTTCCGAAGATACCTACATGTAGGAATACAAGGAATACACCTTTATGGGATCCATTGTATCTATTCATGCAGGCCCTCGGTACACACAGTATATTCACCTCATATATTATAGAACTTTTAGGGTTCAGTTCTGATGGTAGGTATCAATAGTTAGGACCCCCACCCCCCAAAAAACAACAAAAACAAAAAAATACATTCATGCAGAAGTTTCTAGTGATATATTTTGTACCATTGAAGCAGAAGAAATGTCAATCTCGTACAGTTTTCCTTAAACTCTAAATGTACACTATTCTTTTTCCTTCCTGCACACTCAGCAGTGTTCCGGACAGACCGGTACAGACTATAGCTGATCCTTAAACTGATCCTGAGTTTAGTTGCTTAGATGTAGCAGTGAGTCATACTTCCTCATATCTGTGTCTTTTGTTTCTTATTTAATGTTGATCATAATCGGAGCAGTGAATAGCAGGATATTGACATGCATGGCCATTATAAAACATCATATGCTCTGGACTATTTTTTATCCAGAAAGTCTTAAACACCGAGGTAAGGAGATCTGGGTTTGTCACTTCTTACAGTATGTATGTATACTACTAGCATTGGTTTGACTTTCAATTAGGCCAAACAAAAAAATATGTGTGGTTCCGGTTACACCTCCAAAAAAATTAGGGTAGGTAGGTAGGAATTTTTTTTTTTTCTTTTTTTTTTTTTTAACAAAATGATTTTCTTAATTTTTCTAAATAATACCTATCACTGCTTTGCAAATGACATTTAGATGTGATGTGATAATATACTAGTCAATATTGGTAGGGGGACAACTACATGCTAGCTTTCTTTGGATTTAACACTATTAAACACTTGCACTATGTTGTGCAAGGAGGCCGTCATTGCTGAAACTAAAACTTAAACCGGAGCCAATGATGGAAATTGGGGAAATTCCAGAAAAAAATATGAAAATTGCCAAAAAAATGTTTAGGGTCGGGGGTATAAAATAGGGAAGGTCGGGTAACCGGACCCACACATATTTTTTTATTTGGCCTTAAACAGGTTCATGAAGGAAGGATGGAGAGAGGTGAATTAAGTTTTGTAGAAATGAGCTTGTATGTGCTTTAACTGCAGAAACATAAGTACATGTAGTTTCTATCACTTGTGTTGCATAATAATTTGACTTGATATTCTGATAGCATGTTACATCACAATGACTGCAGACTTCATACCTATGCAAGTAAGAGTGACTTTGTCATCTTGGTTTTACCAAGATAAAGGGAGTTAACCCTTGACTCCACAGGACCTTGGTCATATGTCAATGTGTCAGTATGACAACAAAGGCTTAGAGGGTTGATCATAAAGATACAAACAGGTCTTTGTCATTTGTGTTTGATACACATAAGGATATCAAGTTTTAATTGGCAAGTCACTGAAGTCAGGACTATTTTACCTTGCTTTGTTATTGTGGTGAATTTTGACACCGAGGATATACTATTAGATTGTAAGGACACTGAATATTGAAATGTAAAGAACTGAAAAAAGATTTCATTAGTGTGTTGTATGGAATGTCACCTTTAGTAGATTTGAAGGTAACCTTGAAATGCTAGCTGCTCTGGAGTTTTCTTTGTCATTGTAACTATAAATGTTAGCATTAATTGTGAATGTTATCTGCACATGATGTGTCTGAACCTACATAAGTATTTATTTATCTGCTATGGATATATCATAATATTATTTTTCAGTAAGGACTTGTGTTCTAATAGGCTGTAAGTGTTTAAAATTTTTACTTTTATTACAATATGTCAAACACTTCACACCCATGAATTACAACAATTAATTCCTCAGTTATACCCATCAACTGTAAAAGGCTATATGTGTTCCTAGTCTGAAGTTTTCATTGAATGACTATAAAAATATGAATTTCCATCTTCCGAAACTTTCATAGTTAAATTATCAAAATTTAATGTTTGTTTAATAATTTTCTCTGCACATCAGTGACTTTTCGGGTAAAAACCTGTAGTATTAAAATGCGCTGATATTACTGTTGAATAAAAGAATAAGGAGCAACATTATGAATTTAAAACTTCCCATGTACATATATATGGGACTGCGAAAGATTCTGATTTATGACATTGTTGGGAATCCTGTGTCATTTAAATGATTTCTGAGAATGTCTTTCATTGAATTTGCAAAGAATTCTACATTTATTGCATCAAAATTTATTATTGTTTGGCAATGCAGCAAAACAGTGTAGTGTCATAGACTAATTGTAAATTATTGCACATTGATTTGTCACGTAATTCCTGTATTTGAATGACTCAAAACATTCTAGGGTTGCCATGCATCACACAGCAGAGTGAAATTAAATTCTTACTGTAGCATACACTGGTCAGATTGTGCCAGGGGCACTGGAAGTTAATGTAGATATTGAGTATATATATGTATGTATATATTTTTTAAACATGCACATACTCAATATTTACATGAATTTCCAGTGCCCTTGGATTGTGCAGTAAAAATCATACGTGATATGTGCCTTTGTCACTCTGATTGGTAGTAAGAGTGAGGTACAGTTGTATGGCAGCAGGTAAAATAAAATATTATACTTTCATGTAAATTAGTTAAATCTGATTCGTCGAGAAACATTTGTTAAAAAACACTATTACCCGCTGAATAATGAAGCCACGCCCACCAGCGTAGCAACAGTTAACATTGCTTGACGACGGGTGTTATTCCAAAAAATATTGACTGCGCAGAATTCATGCGCGCAAGATTCACTGTAATATGTATTTGTATAAAACATTCAGTATAATATAATAAATACTGCATGTAGTTGAGTGTAACATTGAAAATTTTCACCCCTCGAAAACCATTGTCAACCTCGGCTGCGCCTCGGTTGACAATGGTTTTCTTGGGGTGAAAATTTTCAATGTTACACTCAACTACATGCAGTATTTATATAATAGTTACCTGTAATATTAATCCCATAACCACTCAATAACGAATCGCACTCTTCACCTGAAAGCTCCTACAGGGCAAAAAGTCAACAAATTTAAAAAGATCAATTTGTTTATCAACAATCTAACAACAACACTCTTTAGAGTTATGTGCTTCTAGGGATTACTAAAATCCAACTCTATTTTCAGATATTAAAGATAACGAAATTTTCAGAAGATTAAGGACACACAACATTAAGGAGGTATGTATGCCTATCTAATAGTTACGATTTCATTATTTTGAAAGGAAACTGATTGTATTGGTTAATAGTGATAGAGAGATTTTGTGTTATGCTGATGGGGGATATATGAAGCATTTTATGGAATCTGTTACATAATAATTGTTACATAAGTAAACCCACAAACAATATTTGGCAAGAAGATAAACGGCAAATTCTTTTGAAATTGGACCTCCGCACAAAGATCTGGGTTATCTGTAAAATAGGTTTGATGGATCATTCTAAGGAAGAATTTCATCTGTTTGTTAGTTCTTCTTGTGTGTTTTTGGCTTCATTCACTCATATTACTATACATTTGAAATCTACCTGTCTATCTGTCTGTCTGTGCCTCCACATGACTTCACTGTATCTCTGTTCTTGATATAAGCAAGGGAAGGGCAGATCACACTGACAGATACATCTGTTTTGTACTTTCTATTAAATGAAGAATTGCAAAATTCTTTAGGGAACTACCAGGTATTAGAACAGCATCTCAGACTTTCTAGAATCTTAAGCAGTCATTATTTATAGATCTGCACATGCTGAACTTCTGGGAAACTCTTCAGATTTGAAATGTTTGGTGCCTGCTTGTATAAGTCAGTGGGTCGATTTCTTCAGGGAGCTGTCATTATGAGTTACTTTATGAGGGAGTTTTCATTAAGTTATGTGTTGCACTTGTTATATAATCAATAAGCACTCCCTGCACATGACTTCCAGTTGCGCAAGGGTCATCAGAGGTAAGCTAAACATTAAATTATCAGCTCTCAGTGTCAGCTCTGATCTAAGAATTCTTGGTATTATCAGCTGTATGTGTCAGCTATGATGGGCCATAACATGGCTTAATGAGTGCATTCTATTTAAAAAGAAATGCTTCTTGGTTATTTTTGTGTGAAAAGACGCCCTTCTAACTAAGTTTTAGGTGTATTGCAGGTCTGTGTTTTGTAATACCATTTGAACTGTATTCTATTAGATTACTTGAACTCTTGTGCAATATGGGTTGATATTTATCTCATTTGACCTTCAAGCATGTTTAAATTTACAGACCTCTCAATAGCTGTTATCATCCAAGTGATCAGTACTTCATTAATCTTTATGGCAGATAGGACTTCATCAAAGTCATGTTTAATAAGCAAAGATCATCAATCCTTTACTGAAACAATGATTTGGGTAGTGGCAGAGATAAGGCTAATGCTGAGTGGAGCAGTGGTTCAGTAGACACTGGATACAGTCATTGACGTGTACACCCCTCTGATCAGAAAAGAGGAGGCTGTATTTGATTTACTGAGCATGTACTAGGATTGCTGATGTCCATCAGAATGTCATTGCCCTATGATGAGGGCCTTTAATTTGTGCACTAAGTGTTCTAACATTTTAACCTTGATTTTAAGACTTGGAAAACATTGAGTTAAGCTTTTACCATTTTATATAAATAAGCAAATGACCTAAAATTCTCTCTTTTGATAATTAATTGTTATGACAGGAAAGGGGTGTATGGGGTGACCTTGTTGTCACTTATAATAAAAAATTTGGTATGGCCTTTTTGTTGAAGGAAGAACATTAAGAGGTGGGTTTCTTTTTGACAAAGTCAATGAAATGAAAGCTTACAAAAGCTTGTCATGACCTTGATAAACACATTAGAATGGTTTAAGGAAATGTAGCCCCATCAATCCTGAATCTGCCAAGAAGTTTTTGGCACAGTTTGGCCGTGAAGTCATTTCTGGCTATCACCTCTAAATGGACGACCTCCAAGCATAAATAAAAAATATTCAAGCAAAAAAAAGTGGAATGTGAGGTTAATTGATAGTGCAGAGATTTCATGTCAACATATACTGGTAGATATAGATAGAATGATTTCTGCCAAAGGTACCAAAAAATGACAGTAATATAATGACTGCAAAAGACATATTGCACATATTACACATGTATATTAAAAAATTTATTAAAGATTGGAAAGTGCATATTTTTCTGATGTATGTAAGTGTGAATATATTACATTCATATCACATTTATGATGTGTGTGATAGATCTTTTTAGCTCACCTAAAGCGAAGGCTCAAGTGAGCTTTCCTGATCAAAAAGTGTCCGGCATCCTTCGGTTGTTTGTAAACTTTTCACTCTTTTGACTTCTTCTCAAGAATCACTTGGCCAGTTTTAACCAAACTTGCCATAAAGTATCTTTGGGTGAAGGGTATTCAAGTTTGTTCAAATAAAGGGCAGTGCCCCCTTTCAAGTGGAGATAATTAAGAATAAGTGAAAATTTAATTGCATCTTTTAAAAATCTTCTTTTCAAGAATCACTGGGCCAGAAAAGACAAAACTTAAAGGGTTTTTATCACGTCTCAAAATTTTTTGATATTACAAAGTTTACATGTTATTAAAATCATATACAGTATTTAAAAATCTTTGCTAGAAATATAATATTTTTGATGTTTCAGCAATTCAAAGTTTGAATTTCTCAATATGCATATTTTGATCGCCGATGCTTACTGTGTATACAAAATGGCTCATTCGTTGTGTCTATTGAACCTGTTGGTAAATAAATAAGTGATAATTGGATAATTGACAGCTAGTCAGGTATAATTTGTGGCTTTAGGATGCACAAATGCGCACAAGAAAGGTTTTAGGAAGACTTTTTATCATATTTCCTTGACTTGGTCGAAAAGTGAACGGGACCCTTTTTTCTGCAAACGTGAGGGCTTTGTCTCCATTCAGAACATACGTATATGCCTGTTTCTGTACTATAAAATATTTTAAGGACATGGTACCTTTTTAAAATGGAAAAAATGCCCAACACTCATTTTTAAAGTCACACAGAATCTAGTACATGCTATTAGGAATGTTGTGAACTTTGTAATGGCGTACAGCGCCATTGAACAGTGTTGAAGAAATGTCATTTCTAGTACATGATATTCACTGGAACAGTTAGAATATTTATATACAGTTTATTAAAATAATGAAGACATTGAATTTAAAATTCTCATATTTATAAATATTTACGAAGTCCAACTTTAGTTATTCATTCTATTCAGTCAGAAGTCCCGAGTTGTCAATGGCTTCGTCTTCGGTGTCCTCTCCTATTGTCGGCATATTTTCTTGGTTATTTCTCTCTGCTAGATGTTCATACATAAAAGATTGACCGCGTCCATATAAACTTAAAGAAATTTCGTTGATGTCAAAATTTCCACCGACCTTATTGTGTAGTGTATATTATTTAACATCAAATTCTATTTGCCGCGTCCATATAAACTTAAAGAAATTTCGTTGATGTCAAAATTTCCACCGACCTTATTGTGTAGTGTATATTATTTAACATCAAATTCTATTTGATATATTTTTCTTATGATGAGCTTTATGAGTTCTAATTGACCATTGACACCTATGATGTTTCAGTACCACGTGACCCCTATCTAATTAGTGGAGATTTTTACTTTGAGAACTCTATATTATGGGCATTTTATCACCTAATTATGACTGTTTTCAAAGTTATTTCATAATTAAACAATAATTATATGTTTCAAGAATATAATGTGTTTCATTTTTAAAAAAATTAGATAAGTGATAAAAACCCTTTAATTGAAATCTTTATTACATAATGTAGATTCCAATTGTTTTAAAATCATGACCCCTGGGCCTAGGGCTAGGCCACCATATGGGATCAAAGTTTTGCATAAGAATACCAGTATAAAGGAAAAATATTTAAAAATCTTCTCAATAACAGAAAAACCATGATTATATATTTTTATATGGAAGCATCCCCAGGTAGTGTAGATTCAGTTTTGTTCAAATTATGACCCACAGGGCTAGGATGGGTTCACAACAGGCAATCAAAGTTTTACACAGGAATATATTGGAGAAAATCTTGAGAACAGCAGGGTCATGAATATTCATGTTTACTAGATGGAAGCATCCTCAGGTAGTGTAGATTCAAATTTGTTCAAATCATGACTTCTCGGGCTGGGGCAGGGCCACAATAGGCAATCAAAATTTTACATAGGAATGTATTGAAAAAAAATCTACAGAAATCTTCTGGAGAACAGCAAATCCATTTTAAGTCATATTAATGTGGACACATCCTCAGGTGGTGTAGATTCAAACTTAATGTTCAAATAAATACCCCCAGGGGTAGAAATGGGCTGCAATAGGAGATAAAAGTTTTTACATAGGAGTATGGGAAATGTCTTTAATTTTTTTGCTTTAATGAGCAACAAAGCAATGATAATGCATATTGATATGCAAGCAACCTCTACTAGTTTAGATTTAAGTTTGTTCAGGTCAGGCCCCTCGAGAATAGACTGAGACTTAGTAACAAAAGGGGATCAGAGTTTTACAAGGGAATGCATTGTACGGAATCTTTAAAAAGATCGAGTTGCAAGCTAGATCACAGTAAATCTTATTAATAAGCAAAACATAACTAAGATGTGTAGAGTAGATTTTTTTTTAAATTATGAGCTCTGGTGTTAGAGTTCAGCTTATATGAGAGATCCAGTTTTCAAATTTATAATGCATGTGTACAGGGAAAAAAAATCTCCAATAAAACAGCAGGACCATGTTGATCATATTGATATTGAAGCATCCCAATGTTGCATTGATTTAACTTTGAATAAATCCTAACTCATTTATGTCTGGATTCTAGGTAAAAATATTTATGAAATTAAAAAGGGAATTTTTAAAAAAAAAATCTGCTGGACCAGTGAGTTAGGTGAGCATTGTAGCCCATGGGCCTCTTGTTTTAAGTTTAACAAGTGAGGCAGTAGGAAATGTAAGAAGAACAGGATATGCTGCTTCCCAGATTGTAAAGATAATTAAAACATGGAGGAAATTACTGCAACAATAAAAGATGAAAGAGAAGATAGGCATAAGCTGCTAAGCCCTGATAAATGACTGGATGCCATGTCCATTGTAAAGCTTCTTTAATTACAGTCCCTGGTAATTTTTAGTACATAAAGTCCCTCCTTTCTTCCCAATGCCCTCATTATATCTCCCAACC